ACAAATAGACGAAACAGCTACAATAAACTTTCTCAACAGCAAAACACATTTTCTGTTTGGCTTTTACTGGCTAGACAAAACACACATGTGCAGGTGTGTGTGCATGGAGTAAAGAGTAATTTTCAAAATGCTAAACGTTTGAATACCCTGCAGAAAAAAGAATGGCCAGAATTTGAAAAATATAAATAAAGGGTGCATTGAGCACAATTGAGAGTAAGCTAAGGGAAGAGCGAGACTGAGTGCGAGAACGGTCATCTCGCTCTATCGCATTAGGCATAAGGCTTACGCCTTTTAGAGAGCGCGAATTTGAAATTACGTTGTGTCCCGTTAAGAGAGTGAGAGCGACCAGCATGCTCGATCATGTCATCTTTCCGTTTAGAGCGCAAATATGAAGCTCAGATCTGATTTGTTTTGCCTTGTTGTGTTGCAACCGATTTTGTTTTCTAGATAATTTACCTGCGTTACTCACCTGCTTTAGTGCCTTTTCAATATCATTCTCATTATACTCCGGCCGCTTCAGCACAAATTTGTGTAAATGCTTGCCCGCATACTGGGCAACTGTGGCCCCACCATGGCCATCGTAGACGGCAAAGAACGCTGCCGAGGGATCATCGGGCAGGGCCAGTATATGTGTATGGGAATCCTCCATGTTGATGCGCCATCCTTGCATACAGCTACTGCCGACGCGATACTTTTGATTCTGGCAGTAGGATGATTCCTTGGCGGTCACCGGTTCGGACAAAGTTTGGCCCATCTTCTCTTCACTTTAATTCTGGCTTCTTATCAATTTACGTTGATTATCTGTGACAGCAAATTCAACAGAGTATATAAGTATATAAGTATATAAGAAGATAAACAGGGAGATTAGCATATCAAATTTAATGATACGACCCGCATAAGACCGCAGCAAACAAACGTAAAGATTACAAAAGCAGCTACATACATACATTTACTACATATACATACATATATACTCTTTTTATATGTATGTAGTATATCGATATCGATATTTTATGTGTCATTTGTTTGGAGTTCATACGGGCAAAGGGCAAACGCCCAAGGCCAATAGTAACAACTGATACGGCTGATAAGAAAACTCCTCAAAGTTATCTCTACTCGCTCTTCCCTCTCCGCCAGCGAGCTGTATTAATAAACGTGTGGCAATGCATGAATGCACTTCTCTTCCGTATCTAGCTCACATTTGACGACAATTTAAATATAGACAGAGGAGAGTTTAGAACAATGCCTGAGTAACACTATCAATATAGCACTTACGCATACGCACACAAGAAGTGGTTGTTAAGCTCACCTGGCAAAACATTAACAACTTTAGCTGGCCGTTCAAGTTGTGCAAATACATTAATATGGCAACCGCTTGAGCGCTCGCGTTGAACTCCTTTGGGACTGCTAAATCCGTCGGCGGCACGTGATCTTCTACGTTTGTTGCAGTTGCAATTTTCGCTTAAATTATTGCTTTAACAAAATGTTTCAACAGTCGCGACTTGTTATAGTTCTTGTGCTCATTCTCGATAAATAAGCAATTGCAACACGCCAAATATCGTATCCACTATCGATAGCTATTCAAAGCTTTTAATTTATTCCGCTGTTTACCAAACCAAAAAGAATGCGCTACCTTTCTAATGCAAATTTTTCTGTAACTTAAAATCTAAATAAAATCCATTTGTGAAATGCCAAGCTAATCACAATAAATGCTATATTTAAAAGCGGGCCTAGGCAGACGTGAGTTTCATAGCTTTCAGCTTTCAACAGCTTTATGCTCAAAGGCTAACGGCTACAATTTGTTTAAAATGAATTTCAATTTGAATTCGCATTCGCATTAAAATGAAAAGAAAAAAATTAACTTGTACATGCATATGTATGTATATGCGTATGCACAATATCATATAATCTGTTTAATTGTTTATTTAATTTCCACTTAATGCATAAAGTTTGTTTTGAAATATTACCTCACATACATACATACATATACGATGGGCACTAAGCTCAGTCGCTTTCACTCTCTCAATGCTCTTATCTCAGCTTCGCTTTGTTTTGTTTTATTTTGTTTTCGGGTTTTTTTTTTTTTTTGGTCTGCCAAGTGCATTGAATTTTGCGAATTCTGCTTTGCGGCAAACGAATTCAAGGACAAATGACGTCAGCTAAGCAATTTCGTGCTTGCTTTTGGTCAGGGGCGTACATGTCGATTTGACAAGGGGCCCATAACTGAACCCCATTGCTTGATCTACCCGCCACTGTTTTTTTCTTCTTCAATGCTTGTTTGTTTTGCTGTCTTTCTTCTGTTTTTTTTTTATTTTTTGTTTCTTGTTAAAAAATGAAACAAAACAAAAACTAAATTAAATATTTGCACAGCAGCGGAGACAGCGACCAGCGAGCTGCGAGCAGCGAATGTATTCCTGATAAAGAACTGTACCGTCTGCTTTCTCTCTTACTGTTTCTCTTTCAGTGCTTCAATTGAATGGCGTTTTATCGACGTCAGCACGGCAGCAGCAGCAGCAACAGCAGCAGAGCAGCCGTTGAGTGCGTTACAATGGTCAATGAAATTTGTTTGTTTGTGTTGCTTTGAAGTGGGCGTGGCCGAGGGCACTATCGCATCGGAATGCAATGGTCTACCCGCATTTATAGCTGGCTCTGTAACCCTTCCCCAACACCAATCCCATTCCTATCATTCACTCACACTCTGACTCTCTCTTGTCATCGCCATGCAGTGGACTTTCCGCCTGCTCCCTCTCCAAGCTCTCTTGCGCCAATGTTCTTATCGCCTCTTACTGCATTTTATTATAAAAAGTTTTTTTCTTTTGCTTTTTGTTTCAGCTCATTGAAAGTGCAACCGAGTCGCAGCACGCATGTTATATTCGCAGGCCTCTTGAAACGCACATTTATTATGCATTTAACGTTGTTGTCGACTGCAATTCCCCCTCCCCTCCCTCCCATTCCTCTCGCGCTATGGCAATGGACTCGCTAGCCATCAGCCATCATTTGCCATTTGCCATTTGCCATTTGCGATTCCCCCTCTCTCTGAATTTCCATATTGTTTGTCAACGGTCACATCGCATCCAGATCCCGATTTCGATTCCGATTCCTATCCCAAGCTCAAGCTCGAGCTCAAGCGGCGACATTATCGCTGCCACTTTCCGTATGCAGTCTGCATGCAAATGCTCTCAGAGCAGGAAGAGTGGAGAGAAAGAGTGTAGAGAGTAGCAGCAGGGAGCGGGAGCACAGTTGCAGCACACATACAGACACACACACACACACACACACACACTCTCATAAGCACACATGCAGATATCGCAGCAGTTCAATCACATTGCACAAAAGTTCGAGGTCAGTTATAAAAATAAAATTCTACACACACACACACACACGCATGCATGTTTCTGTGCGTGTGTGTGCCGTCAGCTCTCATTCGAATTTGTTTTGTATTAATTTTTGCATGCGACAAAATGAGTTTCTTTGTCTTTGGCCTGGTCACAGGATCGCAATAGCTTCGAGATGGGGTTGCCCGTTGGCTGCATGGCTGCGTGGCTGCCTGGCCAGCCTTTGTTTCATTAATTCCATTAATTCCCATTCAAGTGGAAGTAGGCCACTGGAGTTCTCCTGCTTCTGTGTAACTCGAGCGGCGAATTCGAGATGCCGCCCTAAGCCCGCCCCTCCCACAACTCTTTTGCAATTGTGTAATGCGAGACGGGGGCAATGACTCCAGCCTCAAGGATAATGGAAAGTTAAGCTGCGCAGTCGCCGCTGCCGCTGCCGTTGCCGTTGCAGCCGATCCACCTCCAGACAGAAGAAGGAGCAGCAGACCAGACCAGACCAGACCGGAATGCTGTTGAACCCATTTTTTTTCCTGTTGTTTTCGAAATGAAATTTCGTTCATTTCCAGAGAATTCATGCCACAGATTTGGTTCTGGTTCCAAAAGCCAAAGCCAAACTAGTTGGACGACTCGACTCGACTCGAGTTCAAGGATCCGCGACGTTTGCTGCTGGTTCATTAACTTGTTTGCTTGCTTCATTTTTTTTTTTTCATTTTTTTTTGTTTTGGATGCCGCCAGCATCCGCGGCGAGACAATAATGATCTTCGCTGGAAATGCGCGCACCCCTCCACTTGCTGTTGTTGTTCCTGTTGGTGGTGCCGCTTGCTGTGTGGCTGCTGTTGGTGCTGTTGCTGATGGTGACTTAATTGCCGCGCCCTGACTGCCTGGTCAAGAAGCTTAACAAAGGAACATCTCGCCAGCCAAATTCAATATATGAAATATATATATGAAGCGTTAAATGATTCCACATTCACCCGAGAGTCGTAGTTATCGATTTGCCCATTTATATACCCTGTATATCTATAACGTATGATGTGTAGGTGCTCTACATTAGCCAGGGAGTTGGGATCAGCTCCAAATCTCTCTTGAATATCTCTAGCGACTTATCGGTATATACATATAGATTCTAAACAAGGTATCAAGTGCTAACAAATATTTACCATGATCCTCAGTTATAACAAATTTTGGCATAAATTACATTTAGATCATATTTGCCTATTTACATGCCTCAAATCTTGTTGCTTCAGATTACCTTTTGGTCGTGCACATTCATTTAACCACATCGCACTGCGACTCGGGTTCATGAATCGAGCCAGATTAATATAGTTGGCTCATAGGGCAGCAACCTGGCCCAAGGCAAAGTTGCTGTCGCTGTCGTTGTCGCTAGTGATTCACTTGTAAAGTGACTAATAATCGAGGCCTTGCGAAAAAGAAATCAACGGATGACTAAGATTCGGATACGAACTAAAGGGAGTCAAGGCAAAAACAGAGAATGAAAAGAAGTTACTGTAAATAAATACAAATATATTATTAGATCATAGAGAAGAGATAGAGTAGATATGATAACGAAATAATGTGGACTATATAAGTATATCTGTGCTGATCTGTACCAAAGCTCTTACAAATTTCAAGTTCCTAAGAAATATCCTTCTTTCTATCCTTCTAATCTGATTAAAATGAATTATGCATGTCTTCTTCATCTTCCTCGGCTTCGTACAAATGCTCTTCCATGCAACTGGCGAGGCAATCGAAGCGAGTGATGCGACCCAAGAGAGAACGAACATCTCTAGTGAATCGCAGGGCATCCAGAAAGGGCAACATGCAGAGCAGTTCATTGTCCTTCGAACCGATGCGATAGCGCTTGATGTTCACCGTATTGCCAATATTGAAGCTGTTTTCCATGGGGCAATCATCGAGGAGCAGCACGTTGGCCAGATCGCTGTGAACCAGCGACACAAACTTAGCCCGAACCCCACAGACATTGACGCAATGCTGTCGAAACATTCGACGCTTCAGTATATTTCGACCAGCATCTAGAAAGTCCAGCACTTGAGAGGCATATGCCTCCGAGGCAGCGGTGAAGATTGCCAGATTGTACCACTCCGAGACCCGATCCAAAAACAGATCTACGTAGGGTCGCTTATAGACATAGACACTGGCATCCGACAAAGGTATATCGAAGCTGTAATCATATGGCGTTGAGTGTACCATTTTTGACTTCGCCTCGTATCGCCGATTGACTTCGGGTCCCGCGCTTAGCAACGATTTCATCCGATACAGTATCACAGACGATATCAGCGTCTCGTCCATGTCTAAAACTAAAGTCTTACGACCCACCATGAGCAAACGCCTTCTCGATACTGCCGATAGATTATCATCCTGCATATATGTTATGGGTGTATAGTTTATCGCTTTCGCGCGAAATTTCATATACTGATTACGAAACTTTTCACGTATCGAGGGCACCATCAAAACTATTCCCATTAAAATAAAGCCCAGGGAGCTCAAAAAATAATAGCTATCAAAGAAAGGCAAGCATGAGATGGAAATTTGATAGAACTCGCTAAGTTACTCACTGCGTGACAAAGCAATTAGCTTGGATATCCATTTTTTCAGAATACTTTATAACAATAGAATTCTATATAGATATGTAGAATATGTTTAGGCAATCTTGACTTGTATTTCACAGCCTAGGGAATTTTCCTGTCGGCCTTTTCGTTTTTTTCTATACTACCGCTCTATTCTAAACTCTAGAACGAAATGGAACTTTCTCTAGGTTTCTATGTGCTTAGTCTAGTCCAGTAATTGATATTTCATATTTATGTACCGTTACTTAATACTCCCCTTCGTCTTTTATTTGTATCTGTCTGTCGTATCGATAGAAAGTATTGCTAAGTCTGGAGCTCGCATGAATCAGGGTAAATCGATCAAATCCATAATTATAATGAAATGACTCGATATCTGAGCAGCTTGCCTGATTCCACTTGGTGTCGCGAGCGTAGGCGGGAGTATTGACGTTGATAAAACTAACAGCCATAAAAACGATCGTCAGTCAGATACAGATACCCTGTACTTTACAATATCATTTAAAGAAGTGTTGTATACAACAAAGAAAATTCTGCCTCTTTCAAATAAAAGAAAGTGATACATAAGAAAACACTGCCATATGAATAACCCTGCTATAAAATAGTGTATGTATGTATCGAGATTTATAAATGTATATTTACGCCGTATGCTGAACCACTAATATACCCGCTTACAAATGCACAGAGGGTATACTTTGAGCACACATTCGCCAAGGCGAAAACTGAAACGCCAGCCATGAAAATGCAGCGCCAGCTAAAATATGTACGTTCCCATTGCCATTCCCGTTCAAAGTTCCACGTTTCACGTTCCACGCCGCCCGCTCCAAGCGCCCAGTGATCGCTATATGACGCACTGGCAGTAGAGTGGGTGGAGGTGGTAGTGGTTAAGGAGGTGCTGGTGGCAGTGTGAGGGAGGTTGTGGTGGAGCCAGCAACAGCAACAGCAACAGCAACAGCAGCCGCAGCCGCAGCAGACCTGATGCGAATGGCGGAGGAGAGGCTGACGGAAGTCGCCGACTGACGATCGAGGCGACGTTTGCAGTGTAAAATATTGCGCTGGCCTTGGAGTGGCACGCACGAAGCTGAAGCGGCTGCCTGTCAAGACGATTAACAACGACAACGACAACGACAACAGCAGCAGCCGCAGCAGCAATACTGACAACTGCAACAACAACTGCAACTGTGTCCCTGGTTTGTGTCGTCCGGCAGGAGCTAAAATTAATGCACCATATTGTGCGCATCTGTTCAGAGACACACACACGCAATCATTCAGACATGCACACACATACACACATACATCTGCATGGCGACTGTTGCAAATTTGCTGTGTGTGTGTGTGGCGTCTGCTGCTTGTCAACTTTAACCGCAATTGCAACCACACAGAGCTCTGGCATCCTTTTCGCCGCAACCGTTTTTAACACCCGCATCTGGACACATGTTGCTGCCGCGTGTGACGCGCCGCAGTTGCAGCATGCAACACGCCCAAACCGGAAAGCCAGTCAAATTCCTAAAAGTTGTGTCATCTTGCAGTCGCGTGAATTTTAATGCTTGCTTAAGCAGCTTAAGATAAGAAATAATAAAGAACCGAAAATAGATTAAGATTAGTGCAATGTGAGGCTAGGGAGATCAAAGAAGAAAAAAAAGGGATAGAGGTAGATTAGAAAGCAAATTTAAACCTAATGAACGGAGGCTGCTTAAACTTTCATCAAAATACAAAATTGCAGCCCAAGATAACAAATCAGATGAGCAAAGATCACACAGAATGAGGCAAAACCCAAAATGAACAGAGCTTTCAGGCCAGAAGCTTTCACATGACATTAGATAGAGTTTAATAGGCAATAAGATCTACGATAAGCACAATACACTCAAAGATCTTAGCTTAATCTGTGCATCCTCTTAATTTTGTTAAAATGTCAAAGGCAAATGGCATGCTGAGCTATTTGGACTCATAAAATTACGTATACGTGCTGTTAACTCGAACCTGTTACAGCAATTATTTGTTAAGTTAAAATTAAACAATAAATTGTTGTTGTTATTGTTGTTGTACTGATTGTGAATGCAAAATAAATTGCGCATAAAGTTTAATCACTTTGACTTCGCACACACAAACAGAAAGAAAGAATGAACGAGCTAGCATGAGAGAGAGAGAGAGAGAGAGAGAGAGAGAGAGAGAGAGAGATAGAGGGCGAGGGAGAAGGAAAGAGCGAGCGAAGAGAGGCGGCAGCTATCGAGCAACGACAACGCCAAAAAATAAAAACGCATAACAAAAGATTCTACAAACACACACGCACACACTTGCATGTGTATGTGGGCAGCGGGCAGTGCAAAAAACAAGCGAAAAAAACGGCAACAACAACAACATGAGTCGGAAACAGAGTCAATAACCTCTAGTGCATTACTCACTTTTAAAGACCGTGTGTGTCCTTCAACAAAAACGTATCTTCATCTCGCACTCACCTCGCTATCTATCTCGCTCGCCCGCTCACTCATTTCGCTTGACTATTTTGCTTTTCTACAATTTATAATTAAACAATTTTGTTGTTGCCGTGGTCGGCTCTCCTCCTGCCTTCCTTCTCCTCCTGATTTTGCGCTGCCCACACTTGCAGCTTTTTGTTGCTGTTGTTGTTGTTCTTGCCTGTCCTTTGCACAAGTGTGTCTGAGCAGGAGCTTCGGCGCAAACTTCTCTTTGCACATATCGCCCCGTCTCGCTCCTTCCTCATAATCATTCAATCCATTGATTTCGCCTCAAAAATTCAGACTTGCCGTCGATTTTTTGTAAACTGCTGCGCATTTTGGGCGAGATGAATAAACTTTAGCACGCTTGCGTGACCTGTTGTCCGCTCTGTCTCTCTCTCTCTCTCTCTCTCTCTCTCTCAGCTCGCTCTCTGTGTGTGTTTCCCTCCCTTTGCGCTCTTCCACTCTGCCGCTGCTCCATCTCCTGCCCACGCATACAGGCGCAGCACATCCGTTGCCAAACTTACGCTTGTGTGTGTATGCATTTGTATGGCGAGTAATGTCATTGACTGCAATTTGTTAGCAAAATATTTCAAGTGATAAATAAATTCTACATGGAGCTATACATTTGATGCCAATGAACTCAATGCAAACTCTTCATCCAAAGTTGATGTTCGGTGCTTTTGGACTGCAATTCGGCTTTGTTTCTTTTTTTTTTTTCTTTATAGCAATTTGCGCCCCAATTGAAAGCGTCAACAACAGTTGGAAAAGTAGATGAAGATCGACGACCACGGGAGACTTTGTTGGAGACTCTGCTACATTGAGTTGCTTATTCTGCACAGGTTGACCTAACGAAAACAAAGAATTTCTTTTGATTTTACTTTTGTTCTATTATTCTTATAAACTTTGCAGTTATAGTAAAAGAAGATGTAATAAAGCTAAGTTATTGAATATAAGAGGATAAGCAACTTTATTAAATTAAAAAACAAAATTAAAACTAGATAAAATTCTTTACACCATATCTTGTCTTCGGGCAAGCACGACAATCATGTTTTAAATACGTACATACATACATACGTATATGTATGTACATATGTATGCATGCATATTATATGTATTTATTTTGAAAGAAACAAGCGCAAAGTCGTTGTTGAGTTCACTGCATTCGATCTCAAGCAAAAATAAAACATGAACGACAACTGATACAAACAAACATACATTCATACATTTGTATATTGTACATACACACATGCATATAAATTTGTTTGTGTGCAACAATTTACATATGTACATACATTCATATGTATATATGTACGTATATGTATGCGTTTGTACATTGTGCTTAATCAAATGCAGCGCGTGCATAGAGTTCAAGTTGATTTATCAACGTTTTTACCATATAAAGAATAATACAGAATATATGCTCAAGTAGATGTAAATACATACATTATGTACATATGTATGTAATATCATTAGCTGTCTTACTTCTTCATAGCAAGCCTGAACAACAGTTACATTGCCCAATATACCGTTACAGTGCCAGCAAGTGAAGCAGCGGAGAGTTGAGATGTCATCTGGCGCCTTGCTCGTTGATTATTCTCTCCAATGCCCAAAGCGAATTAAGTTTCATATGCTCAGGTTACAGCTAAGTCGGTCAATAACTTGGCGTCTGACCAAACCGCAGGAAAGTTCTTATTGTTGGTGTTTGTTCCTTGATGAACTACAACTTTTCGCTTAAGTTTCAGATGCTGGTTTAAGACTCGACCGGTTTAATGAGTCGAACTTAATTTGCGCCCTCAGAAAAAGTCAGCGACAACACCCATGCAAAGCGAAAATAACAGCAGCAGCAACCAGAACAAAATAACCACAGCAAACAATATTCACAGCAAGAGAAAAAGAGAAAGAGAAGAAAAGAGAAGAGTAGCAGAAGCGACAACGACACGTCTGGCAACGGAGCCTATGGATGGGAGAGTGGGCGACGCAGGCTGCAGAAAGAACAGATATCAATGCGAGTGTGTGAGTGTGTATGTGTGTGTGAAATCGCCAAAAAAAATGAAGCAAAACAATTGGCCGAAAAAAAGCGAAGTGAAAAACGGCAAGCCGAAATACAAAACAAAATGATGCTCAAGTAACTCATATTAATATGTGTGCGAGTGTATGCGTGTGTGCAGCAGCAGTAGCAGCAGCAACAGCGACAGCGACGCAGTAGCGACGCCGGCAGAGCCATCGCCATTGCCAATATAAACGACGATCGAAAGATGCAAAATGTTCATTCCGTCGTCGTTTCGTTTCTGTATGTATTTCGCTGGCCAAGAATTCGAATATAAAAAGTCAACAAAATAATAAAATGAAGCATATACGAAAACAGCGATCGCGCACACACTCACACACGGAGACATACATATATGTATACACAGTCGCACACACACATAAACACACGCATGCGGAATTCAACTTTTTTCTGCAACGCTGCGTGTGCCGCCATTGAACGTCGACGCCAGTGGAGAGTATAAAAGCTTAAACTCGCTTCGCACTCGAGTTTATTAAAACCAAAACTGTTCGAGTGTCATGATCGTCGTTGAAGTCGGGAGTTTATTATTATTAAAAAGTGCACAAGTTAAAAAAATTCATGTGAAAAAAGGCGTTGCCTCAATAGAGTGAACGATACATGCGAAAAAAAAACTAATCCAATTCGATTCAGCGCACACGATAAAAAAGAGAAAATAAAAAAGTACCAAAAAAAAGTAGGCGCACGCCCATCAGACGCCACGCGACGCGCAAGCAAAAAAAAATCGAAAGTGTTCGTGTTCTACTGACATGGATTACTTCTGCTTCCACAGCAATAACAACTACATCAACAGAGCTAACAATAATGGCAGCGGAGAGAAACTAGCGTTAGTTTTGTCTATGACGTATGAGAGTGCAGGTAGCTGAAAGATGAGAGCTTCCAGCGGCGAGAGAGCAACAAGTTACAACTTCGTGCCAGCAGCGCGCTTTGCCAAATAGAAAGCGCCTAGAAAAAAAGCCGAAACGACACGACGACGGCGATCGGATCGATTCGCGTATACGTGCACTTTGTCATGACGTTTGTGTGGGTGTGTGCGACGGGCGACTATTGGAGAGCAGAGCAAGCAAGAATTCTAATGCGTCGCAATCAGCGGGAGCTTGAGCAGCAGCGAGCGTCACATTGAACTTGAACTTTAAAATGCAGTCACAGTAACAGGCCGCATAAATATGTACATTTAAACACAATCACACACGCATACACATGTATAAATATCCACATATGAATTTATTGCTGCTATTCTAGTTTGACGTTTGCTGGGCGCATACTTATTTCATTCGCTCTTCTACAGTCTCTTTGTGTTTGATCATTCGTGAATTGGCACTCGGTTCGTTCGCATGAATTTTTCGCTGCTTTAACGCTAAATAAATTTTGTATTTGCAATTAATACGCTACTTGACGAAAATGCGACAAAAGTGAAAGTAATGAAAGCAATGAGTGAAATGAGCTCTTTAGCCGTGACTCTTTTAATATATATTTAACAAGAAAAAAAAAGCTGAAATACATGTACCCAGCGTACGCAAAGCACGAAGCAACAACTTAATAAATTGAAACGCGAACGAAAATCAAACCAGAAGAAAGCGCCAAATGTGGTTTATTTTCTGTTGCTTTGCTTGGCCCACGTTTACATTTCGCCAATATCCGAGACCGAGAAGAGGAAAACAAAAGCAACATGGAAAGCATTGAGAGCAAAGTCGTTATAATTTATTTTATTTTCTTTTTGCGGTGCATTTCCTTATAAATCTAGCCTCTACTAGGCTTTGTCTGTGCATTTGATATAAGATCAGACATAGCCTATGAGAGGTTAGGTGTAGCAAGGGGTCAAACAGCAGAGAGCGAACATTAAAATGAACTGCCGATTACCGTAATAGCGAAACATCGAGCTGATAACTGTGACGACGAGCAGAAAGAGAAAGATATAATAAAATGTGGATAAGAGAAGCGTAAATGTACGTATGCATATGTATTGATAAAGAACGGCAAACATGTGTCTATGTACGTAAGTATGTATATATGTATGTATGTATGCGAAACGAACGCCATGGCATTTGTTCTAATCTTGTCTTCTACTTTTTTCCCATTCGCAGCCCAACTGTCGATATTCGGAGCGACGCTAACTGTAACTGTTTACACACTAGAATAATGTTTATTTATTTATTTATACATACATATATAAATGTCTATGTCAATAAAGGCACTTTAACGATATTTGATTATTTTGCTGTTTTGATTGGCAATAGAAAACCAAACGCTATTTTTTCTGGTTTTGGTTGAGCTCAGCAAAGAGCATTGGATTACCGAGATAATTGTTGTCGTCAGCCAAGCGGCAAAGCTAGGAATATTTATGTACATATGTAGAAACAAACGGCTAGAGTTTGCCTGTGTTTGTAGATAAAGTGAAATAAACAAATGTATTCTTGTGATGACGATTATTAAATTAAAGGGAATTGCTGTGTCTGCACCGGATTAGTGTTCAAGCCACCTAAAATTGTTGAAAGTTAATAAAAATTGTTCAATATTGCCTAAATAGAACATAAAATGAGAGTTCAAATCCTAACGTATTTCTTTGCAAGCGCAGATCGGTGTTGTATCTATGAGCACTCTGTCGTGCTTGACTAGCACTGCAAAGCAGTGCAATAAGGAACTGCCAACCTAAACGGAAAAGTACGCGCTGCTCGTTACACGCGCATTTGCTGACTGCTACATGGCTGCTTGTGCACTGCTTTCGGCAAGCAGGGCAGTTCGTTTTTTTTTTAGCAACAATAAAATGCATTTAGTTAATTCAGTTGCAACCGATGTGAAGATTAACGAGCGAAGCTGCCGTTTCGGCTGAAGCAACTCCCACAATGGCAATGCAACTGTGCATTGGTTTATTTGCAATCGGCTGACATAAAAAACGCTCAATGGCCAATGCGTTTTGTCGGCTCGAAGTTTTCTCACACATAAACCCGAAAAACCGAAAGACATTAGCCAAAATAAAACCGAAATAACAGTCGCGATGTCTCAGCCTAATGGCCAAACAGTTGGCCATTCGTATTTTATAGCTCCGGCATTCAAACTTTGCCTTTTTCCAACGGTTGCAATTCAGCTATTGCATCTGTCTTCACGGCTTATGTAAGCCGTTGTGCAGCTCAGCTCATCACATCTGCCCACATATTGGTTATTTCATTTTCCTCTTGCTTTGACCTTCGACCCGAGTCATTAAAGTTCAGCCTAAGCTAAACAAAATGAGACAAATGTGATTTAATTTGTAGGCAAATTGACAGCTCCACACAAGCCACGCCCACCTGTTAATTAATTTTCAGACAGCATACAAACAGCAGCAAAGAGAAAAAAATGGCCTACAAAGCTGAGCAACTGAGAGTGAACCAAAAACACAAAAAAAAAAAAAACGAAAAATGCATTGCAGTAATAAATTGACCCACTTTCGAATCTGCAACCTGACCCAACTAGCAAAGCAAAACCCAAAACCCAATACTAAAAAAAAAAACCAAAACAAACTCGACAAGCGACAAACAACAACAAAGGCAACAACAAAAGCAACAGCAGCAGCAGCAAACACTTTAGTGCAACAATTTAGTGTCGAGCGAAACGAAAGACTTAAGCAACGAACGCGATGCAGGCGACGAAGCTGCTGACAAGCAGCGGCGCCCTCTAGCGGCAGCCAGGCTAAGCTATAGGCATGTCTGCACGTGAGCTGCAGTTGAATGTACGTATGTATGTGTGTATGTGTGTGTGGGTATGTGTGTGTATCTATATGATCAAAATTAGTCTTACTCGAGTAATTTG